AATGCAGTTTAGTTCTGTGGGAACGTAATTTTTAGGAGACAGGGTTGCCAGGACACACGCCGATTAGAATAGTCTATTCTGCACATGTGCAATAGTGCACAATTCAAATTTTACAGTAATGAGTTGTGCTCTTTATATACAGTCTATCATGGTTGTGCTAAGATGATTTTGAGTACAGTGCTTTACTGTGAAATAATAGTTAAATAACGTGAAATCCAATTCTACTGTTTTATAGATATTTTGTTGTGATATTACAGGGGCTTTTGATTACAATATTTCTCTGTAATATGATACTCTTAAATGCTGTGAAATCCTTGCAATTTTTACAATGTTGTTGTGATATTACAACATTTGATGTGATATTACAGAGGATTTTGATTGCAGTATTTTATTGTGAAATAATAGTTAAATGCTGTGAAATCACAAGGATACAGTCCTTTTTACATGTATTTGTTGGGATATTACAGGGGGCCTTGATTACAATATGTCACTGTAAAATAATACTGTTAAATGTTGTGAAATGCTGGTAATTGTTTACAGTGTGGCTCTTATAAAAAAATTACCAGACCGTGAGCATCAGGAAACCCCAATGAACTAAAATATGTTTGTTTTTTGGGTTTTGTGTGTAAAATGTGGAGATGGGGGCAGTTTATCTAAAGTGTACTTCTCTCTGCTCTGAAGAAAGATCTGGAACAATTTAACATGGGAATCAATTGGGAGCTAGCTGGACTTGTTCTCTCTTCATGCCCTCAAGAGGCATTTTGTTTAATATTTTTTCTTATTTTTTTTTAATTTTCCAACCTAGGAGAGTTTTTATTTCCTACGTTTTTTATGAAAAAATATGTCTGAGTTTGGGAATCATGGCAAGTTTAAAATATTTTTGGGGGAGAATTTCAGGCACTGCTGCACTCTGTTTTGAGATCAAAGCACTCTAGACTTAACGAGCTGCTCCATCCACTCCAATGTTAAAATCTGAAAAAGGCCTCTCTACCAAGCTCCAAACGAAATTCAATATCTCAAAAAGTTTAAAAGATATCAAAAATCTGAATACGAATTCAATAGCTGAAGGTCCTGTGATCATTTGAAAGTTGGAATGAAGTGTCTAGCTGAAAGTATGTGGAAGGAGTAGCATTTGGCGCAAGGTGTAGGAAAACAGGATTTGGAGGCATCTCCCATTGACTTCAATGTTAAAAAAAATGGTTTAAAAAGCTGAATATTTCAAAAGGTATGAAATATTTTGAAAAAGTTAAAAGTTTCTCATCAATTGCTGAAAAGGCTGAATCGTTTATTATTTGAATGGTTTCTGCAGCTGAAAGTAAGCTGAGGTTATGGAGAGCAAAATTATTGGCTGATTTGAAGGCTCTTCCCATTGACTTCCATGTTAAAAAAAGAGTTTAAAAAGCTGAATATTTCAAAAAGTATGAAATATTTTTAAAAAGTTGAAGGTTTCCCATCGATTCCTGAACAGGCTGAATAATTTAATATTTGAATGGTTTCTGTAGCTGAACATAAGTTGAAGTTATGGAGAGCCAAAGTATTGGCTGAAATAAGGGGAAGAATAAAGAGTACTATAGTAAACAGCATTCGCACTAATAAGTAACACAATTCCTAAGATTTTCAATAAGTTATGCATTTGTGTTACCGTTGGTGTTTTGCACACAATGTCAGCACTCCATAAAGTTGTGTTGAAAATTCCACTGTTTTTATGGTCACACGACCCCTATTTAATCCCTTTTTAGTTTTAGTTTCCCAACAATGTACCTTCCCCCGCCTCTGGAAGAAAAGTAAAGCCGTGTTTAACTGACCTGTTGGCCCCGATTTCCATTACCTCTGATAATAGAGCATGGTTTTGGGTCAAACCACAACCATGTGTTCAACTAAGATTGGACATTGAAATAAACTCTAACCTTAACACGCCCCAATAATGGCGACATTTCTGAGCTATATCGACAACGTGATTGTGATTTTTCTCTGAAATTACAGAGAGTAGTGAGAGATTGGAGGGCCAATCATTCACTTGAATATCAATGAATTTGGAGGGTGGCCAATTTTTTGCTTTCTTTTGTATCCAGGATTGAATATAGGTGAGATAAATGTTTTCTCTGCCAAAAGATGGAGAAAATGGTAATTGCCCCTAGCAATTGAAATACTAATAGATCTCTCGACACAGTGCCCATTCGAATCGTTTAAATCCCGAACAAGACGATATATTTGTTTGTGTTTTATCTGCTAGCAGCTTCCTCGAGAAACACTTATCCAAACAATTTGACACTTGCCACTGCCATTCTTTGGGCCTTGAGCAATACATAATGTGTGAAGTTATTTAGATAAAAGGGTGTTGAGAAATCAAAACACAAACAGACCCTGTCCATTTTTGGGACATAATCATTATTTTAATCTACTTTCAACTTACCCATTTGATCCATTTATTCCTGGTCATGTACTTGCATGTAATTGAAAGATTTTTTTATCTTTTCATATAACTCTCGACAAGAAAGAGAATACACGTATTACCCAAAATGTCAAAGTGTTGCTTTATTAGGAATAATCTATTAATTCTAATTCTAAAATCCTTTTCACATAAAAAGACATGGCAGTCCAAGGCCAACAGAACCAATGTGTCCTTGAAAAAAAGAAAACAAATACAGTTACAAAGACATTTAGCCTTAGAATGTAAAGCTTTCAAAGCTCTGTGAAAAACAACATTTCCCTTATGTGGTGCTGATAAAATCATAGCATGAAGCACTTTGAAGCAAAGTTCCACATGTTTGTATGCTTCCAGTTCAGATGTAGGCTTATTCATTTACGTTGATAGTTAGGTCAGTTTGTATTGCTTGAGATTCAAGCTTAGAGTGATCCTTACATCGACTGCAGAACTCTAATATTTATTTTACCTTATTTGCTCTCTCTACCTCTTCCCTTTGTGTTACATTCCATGGCTTCAATCAGAAAACTGAATAACAATACATATGAAACAGAAGTATTCATATGTACAGAGCTGCAGCCTAAAACAAACAAACAAACAAACAAACAGCATATTTACACCACCAGGACAACAAAAACAGCTATTACAATCCAATACATTATACACAATAATTATTTAAGTTAGGGAACACAAGCTATGAAGCACTGAATAAAAAAGGCAGTACATATATTGCCTATTTCTTTATTAATTTAAGCGCACACACACACACACACACACACACACACACACACACACACACACACACACACACACACACACACACACACACACACACACACACACACACACACACACACACACACACACACACACACACACACACACACACACTACACACACTTACACACACTTACACTTTACTCTATACAACCTTGTGCATTTTCTATTTAGGCTTAAATTGTGCAATGTAAGACCAATTTGTTTGCACTGTGTAGAACAGATAACCCATGCTGTCCTTATTATCCCGACCAACATTCCCTCCAGTGTAGCCTGTATCTTCTTGTTCTATTTCACTTTTTTAAATCAGACACACCAATGCTGCAAGCTGTTGTTTTTCTCAAGCTCCAATTAGCATTATCTGCTAGACAAGCTTAATCATTAGTTTAAACACGCACAACTGTGAGTAACAGTAGGTCCCTTGTGGCCAAATGTATGTGGAAAATTCTTCTGTGGGAGACCGACTCCATCTGAGCTGCATGCTTAATGTGTACCAATGTCAGCATGATATAAATACAGGAAATGATATGACATGAAAGCTACAGTACCTAATGTTTTTCATTATTGTAAGGGTTGCATAATAAGAACAGATAGAGTTAAAGGCAAGTTATATAAAAGGTGGCACAATGATTTGCTCAAGTGTTCATGTCCAGATGTCCCTGATGTGTTTGGTTAAAACCATAATCAAGAGCTGAATACTACTTTCAGAGGCAGCCATTTGACCTTGCATTCTGGGGAAACAATACAGCACTTACACTGTGCCATGGGAATCGGGGAACGCTCATCAAAGACATTAAATACATATATTATGGGAGGCCAAGTGAAGGTCACATTCACAAAACATTAATATTTAACTTTCTTGTTTTCTGTCTGTAATGCTAATTTGCTACTTCTTGTTTCCTCTGTGTCTTTGAATTTAAAAAAATGGCATTGACATTTGCCTTTTAATGAATTCCGATACCACTCTCATGTCTGTTCGTTAAAAATGTAGCTCGAGTCATAAGCCGGTTTGCTTAGCTTAGCACCAAGTCTGGAAATAGTGGGATACAGCTAGCCTAACCAAGCAACAGTCTGGCACATAACTCTTTTAAGTGCATCATGCTGATTTGAGGCTTTGTAGAATTATATTTTAATAAGTAAGCTTTAAGGGGGCTAGAAAGTAGACTAGCTAGCTAGCCGTTCCCTCTCTGTTTCAAAAGGAACAGCTAGCTTGTATGTAATTGAGTCACAACACCATACAATTTCTGCCAAAAAAGCAGTAGAAATGAATACTGTTCTGCAAAAGTTGAATGTTTCAACTTTATCGAGAAAGTATGTGACACTGTCGCACTTTACATGTAAAGTAATACACAGAAACAAAATGGGCTTGGAGATGAGGGAGCAAAGCCATAGTACTACAGCCTAAACCTGCTCTTTTGTACTGTGCTCCGAACAAAGCGTTAACTTTTAAGGGACAATATTCTTGTAAATTAGGTGTATATCCAAAACAAAGGTAAATGAATTTGGGAGTTGCAACCTACTCCACAAAACATTTCAGCAGGTGTATCCATGCTGGTAAAATTCCAGTCTTTCACCTAAGCTAAGCTAACTGGGGGCTTGTTCTATAGCTACAAATTAAGCATAGACACGAGAAGGATATTGATGTTCATATGTAATGCTTGGCAAAAAGCAAAAAACTGAATCTTCCAAAACACTGAATTTTGTTCGATAATCTAAAAGCAATAATATAAGATTGTAGACTTGTATCAGCCGTACGCCAGTATCTGAATCACAGACTGTCTACAGGGAGGATCTCCCATTATCCCAAACAGGTTTCAGCAGTCTTATTTTCAAAGTTGGTGGAGTCTGACACTTTGACCATTTGCTCTCCAAGCTTCCTGCCTTCAGCAGGTAAATTCCCTCGATGAAAACAACAAAACATCAGTCTCTGGAGACGCAGAAGCTCTTGCCAGGAGGTACGCTGGAAGATGAAGTAAATGAAAGGGTTGTATACGGTGGAGCTCTTAGCAAAGAAGCAAGGTAGCATGCTGATAACGGGAGACATGTGGCCCTTCTCCCGTGAGTGAAACATGCTCCAGTAGCTCACAACCACATAGGGGGTCCAGGCGACGAAGAACCCAGAACTGATCATCAAAGCCATCTGAAAGAAGAAGAACAGATGAAAGCACAAGTGAAGGGAGGGAGGGAATAGAGAGAATAAAACAGTGGGTTGTGTGAAATATGTGGCTTCAGTAAAGACAAGAAGGCCAGTAAGAGAATAGAGGGGAAACCGGGGGAATACGTTTAAAAGAACGCCATCTTTTGATTATTTTCTCTCTTGCTGAGGGTTCCATAAGAAGATCAAAAACACTTTCTTGTCTGTACTTTACATATGAAGCTACCACCAGCTGGTTGCTAACTCAGTTTTGCACATGAGGAAACGGAGAGCCTGGCTTTGTCCAGTGATAACAGAACAAAATAATTTCTACATTCAGCGGGAAAGCAAATAAGCATAACCCTGAAAAATAATGAACTCACTACTTACATTCTCCCAAGCCCTGGTGAAACAATGGTGGTTGATGATAAAAATGAAATGTTGTGAAGCCTGAAAGAAAGCTTACCATGTCACATCAAAGAATAAAGCACAGCTGGAATTCATTGTTTGAATTGATTGTTCTCATGGCTTCGACGATAAGAGAAGACAGCAGGTCAGCATTCTGGCAGGTGATTGAATTCAAATTATATAAGGCAGTCTATTTGGCCATTAGGGATTTGAATATCTGTCACAATATCTAAAAAAAACAAGTGTAAATGATTTGTTATGTGCAAGAAAGTGACAGCTTTATTTGCAATACTCTCCAATTAGCGAATTCCCATGCCCAATTCCCCATTGCTTTTTATTAAGAGACGTTACTTCCCCCTTCAAATATTCCACACAATCAATGTTGTCATCTTCTGATCAAACACTGTTTGAATGATACCAAAAGAGTTTATTTGAACTAAGGAAACTAAATGTCATACAGTTAAAAAAATGTGCACTCAAGTGAAGTACTTTCCAATTTGCTGTTAAATGACTTCAAGGTAGTACTAGGACCAATGTAGAGGCTGTAAAATAGCTCTTCTAAGATTTGACTAAATTATTACACTTATAGAACACGTAAAAGATTACAACTACCTTGTGAGGTATGAAGAAATAATGATGGAGTGAAACAGATAAAATGTCATAATTCTTTTTAAACTCATTTGGTGGAATGCGGGCAATCAAGCGCAAATGATGAATGCAGGATAACTAAGCTAAAGTGAATGACACAGGTACAACAACCACGCTCACTCAAACACGCACTCAATAGCCATATCCAGAGGGCATATACACAATTAAACGTGTTGTGTTCACAGGAACCCAGATGTGTAAAAGTGATGACCAGTCGCCGACCCTGCGCACTCTGAGCACAATCTGCAGATGAGTGGGACACTTTCGATTCTGATCTAATTTCGTATACTGCAGCAAAAACACTTTAAAAATCAATTCAATGCGCGCACTTTGACTCTCTCATGAATATGCACTTACAAACACAAGTAAATGCACACATGTGGACATACAATTAAATCCTTGGATAAGACGCACTCTGGGGGCTTTTAGATTACGTGAGGCACATCCGATCAACCTGACACTGAAGTCAAGCCGCGTTTCGAGGAATTGATAAGAGATTGCTTGCTGCAAATATCACACAAGAGACACAACCAATGTCCTTAACTTTTATCTATATCGGAGGGATTTTCTTTGTTGCATAGTGTTGGTGATAAATATAGTGTGAATCCCCTATAGACCTTTTCTACTGCCTTGTGAGAGGTGTGGGAGGCATAAGTGAGTTAAATTAAGTTGATATTCTATATTTCTTTTAATAAAAAAAGCACATTAAAATACCTAAACACCTAACACTTATTTAATATATATTTAATATACATTTCTTTATCCATACACTACATATATATGACATATAACTATAAAAACATAGCCATATTCGAATGTAAGGTAAAGGTTCAAACTGATTCTATGAAATGCAGTTATTTTTCTAGTTCTCAACCTGTGTTTTTTAATTCTTGTTTTACTTTTATGTATGCACCACGACACCAAGTTAAATTCCTCGTACGTGTAAACCTACATGGTAATAAACCTGTTTCTGATTCTGATTTGCTGAGAATGTCTTACCACTGAGCTAGAGATAGCCATTGAGCAGTTGAGCAAGGTAGCATGGAGACAGGAAGCAGGTGTAACAGCCAGCATGGCTCTGTCGAAATTAACAACGGTAATCAAACTAATTGATTAGCACGTTATGTAAACCACGACATGTTGTGGTACAACAAATAGTTAATTTCTGAAACCCTTTCTTGACTAAGCTAGTGACTTCCTGGAGTCGTTGCTTGTTGGCTAGCAAACTAACATGGATGACAAGATGATAGCTGCTGAAATAAATTATAACATTTTCATTAAGGATAAGATACAGGTCTTGTGTTTTTTAATTGGACAGAGCACTTTTCACCCCTAAGCTCAACTAATGTTCTCGTTATCATTGGCTCTCTAGCTTTATCTTAAGCAGAGACACATGAGAGTGTGGTTATTTGTGTATCTATATCTTTGCAAAAGAGGGCTAATCATTTCCAAATATGTCAAACTAATCCTTTACAGGGTTACCTCAAAAGTGGGAATGAAAAGCTTGGGGCAGAATGCCACATACAGCATATTGAGGTCATTATATGTTGATAGATGGGCTCTGTTAAAAATTACATACTTCATAACATTTCATAAAATGTATAAAAGGCAGTATGACAATAACAGGATTTTGTGAACACGTTAATTTAATTTCTGAATATCAGACATGACATTATCAACTGCCCCAAAGTTCATTTTGGGTCTTCAGCCTTTCCAATTTTTTAAATGTTTACATTTAAAACAAGTAAACAATTTAATAATATAACTCGAGTGATTAGTGCTGAGTAGGGTACAGTTGAGGGAATAAAGAGGGGAGCTTGAATATACAATAAAGTTCTTTAGTAAAAATATGCAATACTGGAAAACCTGAAAGGAAGGTTGATGATTCTAGGCCCTTGGTCACAGACATACAATAGACTCCAATATCTTACCTAAATTATTACCTCTGTGTCTCTTTAGTCATTGTTGGTCTCTTTCTGGTTATTTTTTCATATACCTTTTTGATGTTAGTCTCTAAGGGTTCTCTTTGAAGTGTTTATGTGTCTGTGACTGTGTGAGGTCTCCTTGTGTAACTCTGTAATAATTTAATCTGTATTTTTGAGTCTCTTCTGGGCTAATATGTGTGTCTGAGAGATGTTAAAGCCAGTTGGGGACCTGACACGTTGGGCCTGTTTCTCTGGTTGGCCTGTAAAGTCATTAATCCATGATGGAAAAGGGGATGTTGATTTACATCTGTGTTCATTCAACCAGTGGCAAACCGTCAGGGCCTTCAAGGTATTCAGAGAATACCCTGGAACACTCAGACAAAACAAACAAAAAATCGATTTAATTATATAAATAAAATGTAATAAAATGTATATAAAATGAATAAATGACAATCGTATCTGTGTTGTTGATCTGTAATATTACAGTGTTACTTTGATTTGTTTGTCCTTCTCGGACCATGCACTACGCATTTCAGTGGTTTTGTGTTAGAAAAGAAAGCAACCAATCAGATCTTGTTCTGGGTCTCTGGGTAGAATATCCTTCAACCAAGGTATTCTACATCCTTGATCGAAGGCCCTGGCCGTTGCACTGAATGAGAGCGTACGTTTGGACTGACAGTTTGATCAACCAATCATATATTGATTTGTAGCCAATGGGAGTGTTCTTTCAGAGTTCCCCTCGGTTCCAGGGTACTCTAGAAGGCCCGCTAGTTAACTGGCTCGAGACAGAGGATGGTGGTTCCCAACCTAGGGGGCACGCCCCCCTTGGGGGGCGTGCCAAAGATCGCAGGGGGTGCCAAAGATCGCAGGGGGGGGCGCCAGGCCTCAGATGATTTGAGGCCAAATATCATATTTAGACTTTTTTTTTTTTTTATACATATAATTGTAAAGCAATACATGATTGTCACTAAAAGCCTTGTCACTACATTACAATAAAATATAAAAAATAATTGATTAATTAATTTGAATAACAATTCAAGTTAAAAACATAGTCATTGTCCATGCCGGTTTCAGTTGGATTATTTGTCACAGTTGCATTTGAAGTTGTTGCGGAATTGTTGTGAGTACCCTTTTCAAGACGACAATTCAGTGAAAAGACGGACATTATAATGCCGCTATCAGTTGTGATAGACACGGTTCGCCACTGCATTCAACGTTAGCTTGAACGTTGTGATCCATACATTCAGGTTATCCAGAAAATAGACATTGATTACGTTTACTTGAGTGTGAACAGTCTGCTGGTAATGGCATATACTTAGTTTGCAGTACGTACTGATTGTTGGTTGTGATCTTTTCATGGGATTGTTGGTGTAATGGGGTCCACTGGCAAGAAATCCATGGGTGTTTGTTAATTGGCTTATGGATGTATATTGATTAGAAAAATGAAGCCTTTAACTGGGAAACTTGGACACATCATTAACAATATCTTGGTAGCCGAGTTTAGCTTGACACAACATGGTCCTGTTGTGGTGATGAGTGTTACAGTTTACATTGCTAAACTTTGTTTCTATACTGAATGTAATCATCACATAGCGGTAACGCTAAAATAACGTGTTGATCTTCAGAAGAGTGCTGTCTATGCTAACTCTATTGGTGAGCAATATATATATTCTGTCTTTTTTACCAGACAATTAATAGCAGCAGATGTAGACGGTGGCCTCCTGTCCATCATTCCTCCACAAATCAAAGGGTTTTTATCTTTCCCGTTTCACTGGTGTCTGGACGAGTTCAATGCGGGCCACATCCCTTTAGCCCCCCTTCCAGAGGCCTTCACATGCAAAGCTATCATTTATTCTTCATTTGTCTTGGTTGTTTTCTTAAGCTGCTTCATGTGACGGGGGGAGCAGAATCAGCAGGCGATTATTTACACCAACTAAATCGACTTTGTCAATGTTGTCAGAACGATCCAGCTTATTCGGAAAACACTTTTATGTCAACGCTCAAATAGATATGTTCGCCTGTCAA